TAGTTGTTGGTTAATGCTTTGGTCCACCTGTGTTACTTGCTGCATTTACTGTGTTTAGAATAATCATATGAATCATTATTACCATTATTATCATTTCCATGCAAAAGACACGCTCACACAAACCCTCAGTCTTGGAAAAACTTTGCATCAGAAAGGAGTCTTATCAGAAACAGCTCATAGAAGAGATGAGAAGTCTGAAGTAATTTCCTCATCACCTGTCATCACCTTCCATTAAGGAGCAGACTGAGTTCTTCCTGCTCCAGACATTGCCTTCACACTCCCACTTGCAAAGCTACAGTATATGGAATTGTAGCTCCTAAGCACAGACATTTCTGAAAGATCTATTGTCTAAAAATTAAGTGTTTGTGCGCATTAGTATGTACTTCATAATGCACCTCGTCTCCAGAAAAGTGCAGCTCCCTTGATGTAATTGAAAATTGCTGAGAAAATGTTTATCTTGACTCATCAATTGAAACCTAAACAAATTCCTCCCTTGAGATTGAAGTGATAAAATTGTGCCTGCATTGAAGGGCCTACGTGCAGTTTTGTGAGTGGAAGCCTATCTTTGGATTAAAAAAAAAACAAAATAAAGGGCATGTTACTGGAAGTTTTTTACTGTTTCTGACAAAAGGTTATTTGGGTTTGACAGTAAATTACGAACACCTCCCTGTCTGATCTTATTTATACATATTGTCATGTTCATACAGTAGCTGAACACATGTGTGTTTTTGTCAGTCTAGCAGGACATTAGAAGAATTCTGTGTCTGGAAACAATTTTTCACCTCGGATACAAACTGGATTGCATTCTCAATTACAGCTGTATAATTTTACAGTAACTCTCCTAACTCCTCGCACGACCCCTCTAATTCACAGCACAGAAGAGATTCAAAATTGTATAGAAAATTTACATTTAAAAAATGTTTAAGAAAACAGAAAATATACTCAGCTGCCTCACTCGTTTTTCATTCCGTCAGTTACTTTTTCCCAAATAATTGTGTTTGTGGCTGTTCTGTTTTTTTCTTTAATATAATTTTGATATCCTGACCTTTGTACCAGTTCTCTCTATTTTACACATAATCTTTATATATTTCTAGGAAGACAACACTTGATGTGGGTTGTAGTTGTTCTGTTGAGTCATTAATTTTAAAACCAGATACACCTGTACTAACTTAGCATATCAGTGTTGCCAAGTCTGATTGTTGTACACTTTGCTGTAGAGTACATCATCCAAAGGTAATGGATTTTAAGGGATTTGTTATCACACACCTTTGTAGATGCAAAAGTAACTATTTCCTGCTGCTATAAGAGGAAATTACAATATAGTGCATTGCCACTTATTCTGAGTGAAAAGCTTACAAGGTGTACCTGAATATATATTTAGTGAGAGGGCTACATTTATAGTAGTGCAGGGATTAGGAAAGGATAGAAAGTTCAAGCATAATCTAATGGCACTGGTGCCAACAGAGACTCCATGTGAAAACATTGTGTTACTGTTAATCACATACTGCCAAAAATTAATCTATTTCAAAACTAACAATCTTAGTTTGATCAAATACTAAAATTTGATACTGGGTGTGGGCATTCCACAAACCTCTAAGTGTTGCTGCAGATTAACATATTACCCTTAGTACTATATATGGTGATCCAATACATCAGTAAAAATAAAAAAATATGTTTTTTGTTTAAAATTGTGGATTACAGAAAACCCTTAAGCTGGGGAGGATATTTTTTCTTAAAATAAAATATGGAAATAAACTTATCACTTATAATAAAGTATTTCATCCAGGTAAGAGTGAGTCATGAATTTGCCTCTTTGGCAGTAAGTCTAAGAAAACATGGAAATAGTTATTTTGCTGTCATTATCAACAGTGAATTAGTATTACTCAATTTGACTTTTTGTTCTAAAAAAACAACTGTAGTGTTCATCTCAGAAAGATTTCATTAACTTTTGCTATTTTACTTGTTTTTTAGCATTCTTAGTAACCCAAAAAGACTAAATTCAGCATTTTTAAATAAGGGAAAACAGTGTCTTTTCACTGGCATCATCATCTTAAGAGGTCCACTGGAATAAGCAGTTAATGTAAAAAGTACATTTAAAGTACATGGTAAACTGTATTTCAGGGTAAATTCTAACTGAACATACAGTATCTATCAATATCTCTACTATAACTGCTGAGTTCTAACATTCCTTTATGTACTTACAAGTGTAAACAAAACTTTTTTCAACTGTTGAAGGAAATCAGAGTACTAGAACATTTTAAGGGCCTCCATATGGAAACATAGACAATATAAAAAGCCATAGACAATAACCACAAAATAAAATCAATCAAGTCTGATTTATTGGAAATTATACATAAAATCATTTCCACAGGAATATTCACTTTGAACTTTTATCGCCCTACTCCCCACCTCGCAACCTCCGCTCTTCAAATTCTGCCCTCCTTACTGTCCCCCAAGCCCGTCTACATTGTATGGGCGACAGGGCCTTCTCCTGCTATGCCCCCAAGCTCTGGAACTCCTTGCCCAAGGATATTAGAGAGTCACCTTCTCTAAACTCCTTCAAATCCAGACTCAAAACCCTCCTTTTCAGAAAAGCCTTTACTTAACTGGTTCCATTCTTCACCCCTCTGCTCTTCTTAATACCATCTTCCACGGTCTCCTCTATTGTTATTGTTGTATTGTTGTAATTATAATTGTGTCCTGTCTTGTGAAATTTTCTTATTTATTGTTGTAGTCTTCTTATTTATTGTTATTGTCATCCTGTAAAGCGCTTTGAGAAGCCACCTTTAAAGGCGCTATATAAAATAAAGTTTTTTATTATTATTATTATTATTATTTTTCTGAGAGATGTAACCATGTAAATGTCATATAATGTTGTGAGTTTTTTATTGCTAATACACCAGTGCCATTCATCAGTATAGTAAGATGTCTGCAACATGCTTTGGTATTGATGAAATTATATGTTGGATACAGATGTGTGGAACAAAAAAGATGCCACCCATAAGCAGACGAGGCAGTTTTGTATTGTGATATTTTGTTTCTAGATACCAAAGCGTCCTCTGCTGGATAGTTCGGAAAGTGCACTGTCCCGAGAAATTAGGTCATGCGAGATTTTTATTAGCGTTTTAAGAGTTCCATTTGCCATTTCCAAGGCAAAATGGTGCATGTACTGTAAATAAGCCCCTTTATTTTAGAAAATTTCTCATGGGTGAAAATATGCTTCGTTTAGATGAAAATATTTTTTATCTATTAGTTTGTGTGCATAAATACAGCTTACTACTTCTTATTAAATTTGCTTACTGACATTCATCAGGTTTCACAGAGGATTTTATTCCCACTTTCAATATGTCCAAAAATCGTTTATTGATAAACAGGGCAGAGCACACAGGCAGTATTTTTTTTGGGGGGGGGGTTCTAGGTCTTTATCGTGATATCCTGTATCCTGTATATCTCAGTAAAACATTTGATTTATACTGAAATGTATACTTTATACCGTATACTAGCGCAACGTTTCCCAATCCAAGTCTCGGCCACTGGCTGGTTTTTATTCGAGATGAATGTTCTGTTTGTTGAAGCCAAGTTAGTTGAAGCCTTAATTAATCTAATTATCTAATTAATGTCAAGTGTGTAATTGTTTTCAGCTGTTAAATATTTTGGAGGTTGCCTTTTAATTATTGGGTTTCAAAAGTTACATGAAATCTCCAACTTTCCCTAAATCCCTATGTACTGATAAAATGTACATAGGGATTTGGGGATGGTTGAGTACTTCTTTCTGATGCATAGATACTTCATACTTTGCAGCTTGTGCTTTTATTCTCGGGAAGCTAGACAGATTCGTCATAACAGTTAAAATAATAAGGCCAAATGACTGCCCTTCTTCTGGATTGTTTTTTAGAGGTTTTAACAGCCCACAATAAAGACCCTTCCGCAGTTTGAGGTATTAGAACATTAGTACTTTTTTACCAGCAGATGGCAGCACAACTATATCAGATCACTTTTCTTCTCTGCTCCGGCCTAGTTTTTAAATTCATTTGCTGTAGTACTGTATTTTGACTTCAAAATTAGAAAAATATTTAGAGGTGTCTAAAGCACTTCTGGTGACTCGGTTTTATGTTTCATCAACAGATGTAAAAACAGTGTAGTGAAAGTCTAGTTTAGTTCAAAACAATACCATGTCCACTTTTAACACGGGGTGTTTCAGATTGGCAGTGTTACACCTGCCAATTAAAATGCTAAAATCCCTGGATCTCTTTCTGTAAATTGAATGACATTGTCTCATCCCCCAATTCCCTGGGGTCAGTTAAATGAGACAATTTAGCTCTTGGCCAGAGAATGAATAATGTATGAGTTAGGAAGGCTGAGATATACTCATGTGAAGTATTTCCTCATCTTCAGTCAACATGGATCCAGCTCCTTATTTTCAATTTTGAAGCAAGAAAGAAGCAGGTGGGTCAGCACATAAGCATTATTCCCAGTATAGCTAAACTACTGAAGAGAATGCCTAGATCAAATCACACCCGCAGTAATGCAGCACATGGTCTCCATGTGTGTTATTTAATGCAGTTTAACAAAGATTCTGTATAATTAAATATTTCTGATTAACCACGAACAGGCAAATACTATGTAGTCATTTCCCCCCATTTTCTCCATGTATGTGCATCCTGCCAAATGCTGGAATCTTAATAGTAACGTTTGCCTATTGAATTTTGAAAGCAGAACCAGAGACACCAAAAATAAATAAACAACTCAAAAAGGGAGCTCAGAAGAAGTGTATAAAGGAACTAAAGACATTTTGAAGATGAGCGAACACATCCTGACTGCCCTGACACAGCTTTTGCAATTGTATCGATATACAGTTTTCCGAGGGCATTGATTAGAATTTGTAGTTGCAGGAAACAATGGGTTACAGTTTATTTTGTTCCGATGTGCTTCATCAGCTTTATCTCGGGAGATAACCATTTCCGCCGTATATATCTGTGAGGTTGTTCAACCACAGGAAAAAGCGCTAAAGTCACCTTCAGAGGCAATGCTTTGCACATTTCTTTAGGTACTGTCATGCTTTCCAGGCTAGATCTCATTCACCGGACATTGAAGCAGATTGCTACAGTGCTGCAACGGTTCCTGTATTTTCCCTTGCAGGTTTCTGGAATTGTTTGATTCAGTGCTCTGCAGCAGTTCTGTTTTGTATTCTGGAGGCTGTAACCATCTGAAATGACCCTTAATCAATGGATTTTGCTTTAAATGGCTGAAGAGCTCTGCACTGGTTGGTTGCGGATTGTTGCAGGTAAAAAGACTCAATTTCTTATCCATAACATTTGAAGAAAACGTAAAATGTTTTTTAAATAAGGGATTTGTTGTCAACACTTTTTCTGTGCTATTGAAACAATCATTTCTAACCTGTTATAGCATGTACAGTATGGTTTTCTATCTACTGGTGTAGTACAACACTTCAAAAATGATCGTTTCTAAAGGGAAGGTTATAGGTTCTGAAAGATAAAAGTCAAGTACAATTTTAGGCTGTTTGCTCTGGTACTTGTCATTATGTCAAGATGAAGATTTAGGCCAGGCTACATTCATTGGTTTTCACTCACACGTAGTTTTGTGCAGTGTCCAGTAGGAGACATTGAAATTGTACAATGCAGATAAAAATGCTTAAAAAAAGAAGATTCCATTGCTAAGATCTATTGCTCAGCGTATATTATTAGCTCCATCTACTGTTTGCATAGTAGAACTGCCAAGCTTTGTTGGTGCTTTTTGAGCGAATGTGAAGCTTGTACACTAACAGTATATAGCGTACGTATTGAACTTTTTGTCAAGTTCAGAAAATATGTTTATTGTGTGTTATAAGTGATAACATTTTGTTTGTTTTTCAACCACAATCGTATCTGGTGCTCGCAGTTCAGTGTTTGAAGTGATTGAGTATTGTTTTTACCTACATTGCATAGAAGTAGATGCATTTATTCCAGGTTATAACCGTATCAGAATCCAACACTTTGTCTTATATTGACAGCCTTGTGCTACGTAACTCCAGTCGTCGCCAAATTGTTTGCAAAACCAACTATCTGCAGCATACGTATCAGTATGCGCTGCTCAGCGATCATTACAACTAATAATATATAAAAATCTTTGCTTCCGGCCTCAAGTTTTCAAAATGCTAAAGTGTAACTTGCAGTATTTATTGGTGTTTACTAAAGGAAAAAGTGGCCATTCAGTTTAGAACTGATATGCCTGCCAAAAAAACAATCATATCAACTTTGGCTATGCACAGCCCAGAATGCGTTTTGGTTGATGAAGCTACTGTCTGAAGCACCACTGTTGGGTTGCTCCATTGCATTGTTCAATATATTTTGCTTTGTTTGTAGTTGGATTTATTTACAATGATTTAAGCTCCTCTGAGATTCCTGATTTACTGTGCAACTTACAGTACAACATATATTAGTATATACTGTTGGATCTGGAATTGAACAGATGTATTACTTGCACAGATAAAAGTTAATATTTATTAAAATAACAGTCTACAAATTCAATGAGTCAACTATTGTGGTTCAGTTTAGCATACTCATTTGGATTTCTTTGTTTTTAAACTAGGTACATTCCATCTTCTTATCAAAAACAAATATTTAGGACAATGTACCTAGTTTAGAAATGCAATACAGATCACTGCAATTATAATACAATAGTACATTTTGATTACACATCAAAATGATTCTTCAGCCCTTTACATTATAGCAGTAATCTACACATGTGAATGCTCTGCGGTTCTATGACTATTATTTCATAAAAGCTATGTTTGTTTGTTTTTTTTTTTGCTCTGGAGAATTTGCAGCACACATTGACACACATATTGTGTTCTACTGAGTAATGATTTAATTCATCGCTCTGATTCACATAATTCACGGTGCCCCAAAGCCTGCTTGTGTAAAGGATGATCACTTTCATCTAAAGAAGAGTAAATCTCTGACCATTGGCACAGTGGGAGGTAGGCCAGTTTTCTCCATTGTAAAAAATGAACAACAGTAATGCAGACTTGGACCAGTTAGTTGGAGCACCAGAGCACCAAAACCATCAATTGTTAGTAGATGAGGCAGAAACTGAGATATGTTCTCTACATACAAGAAATTATAAATTTGAGACATATATAAAATGGAAATATGTAACATGCTTAAGTTATAATATCAGAAAAAAATAGGAATTATTATCATTAAATATATCCATTCTGCAACTATTGCTATTTTCTGCTGTATTAGTATTGTTTTTAGAACTCTACATGAGCTCATGTGCTACAGCATCACAAGACTACTGAGGCATAGGCAGTTTGCCTGCCTAATTAAACATTTGTACACTGTGGTATTACATCCCAATATTCACAAAATTCCCTAAATGAATACTGTGCCTGTTGATGAATAGTCCACCTTTCTCCTTGCTGACCTGACGATGAGCCATATCTCTTTTTGCAAAATCTCCCTCTATGCTCCACAGCTATCTGACTTTTTCCAGAACTGCTGCCAGCTTTATCTGCACAGCACTTCCAGCTGAAAATGAGGCTTAGGGAATTAGGCTTTATTTAGCAAATCCTCTCCATTCAGTTTTCTAAATCTCCCTACACTGGAAAGCAGCACTCCAGAAGGCACCTTGTCTGTGACTGCACTAGAAGAGAGCTGGGAAATGCTGTTAGGAGGGAGGTGGGGGGATATAGAGTGGGAGGAGTCCGTGACAGCATCTGTTACAAGATGGGCTTCTCACATGGAACCAAAGCATGACTGTGGAGAATGAATTGAGAAGCCTCCCTCTTTTTGACATGGAGATGGGTAGATTGATCATTGCTAGTATATACGTCAGGCTATATGGGCCACTACATTGTTTGCTTCACTGGGATTGATGAACTTTTCAAGCCCTCTGGTATTTTAAATTGGATTCTGCATATATTCTACATACAATTTCTTTTAAAGCATTATCGGAATATCAGAATCAAATGTAGAATGATCATTTCATCAGGTCCCATTTGTTTTCCTCATTTGGTTACCAGGTGATAGATAAAGTGGTTCACAAACTGCACTGTGTTCTCTCATGTTTAAAAGACCCTAGCCATATACAGTGTATGCTGTGTCAATACAAATAAGGTGCTTGTGAATCTAATGTATTTTTCAAAGGACAAAAGTGCAGTTCTTTAAAGGTAACAAAGATGAAACTTTTGCCACTAATGTCTCAAACCTTTCTGCCTCATATACAATTTTAGGGGAGTGTCTGGCTCTGACTCTAAATGTACTAAAAGAGAATCTTGTGTTAAATAATGAAGAACACCACATCTTTCTTTTTCTTTTCAATTGTATTGTCAAGGTACACTTTTTTATTAAGAGCTGTCTAGGGCTTGCATGCAACCTGATTGGAACTCTGATGGCCAGCTGTCTCTTCTGTGCAAATGCATCCTGGAGTGCACACATTTCTCTTTGTTTCTTCCCCATTAGTGGTCATCCTCTGCCCTCTGGCTTCGGTACATTACTTCATGCGAAATTAATTGCAAGGCTTTCTCTCTCTCTTTTTAGTTTGCATGGCAGGCTGGGTGCAACAGTAGGAGCTCCTCCCTCAGAAAGCCTTGTTCTAGGGATAATTGTTTATGATGTGACGTCAGGCCAATTGATTTTATCTCGGAAGGCAGGGGAAGAGAGTCCAGCAGGCAGGCGCAGAGCACAGCAGCTGAGCTACAAAAAAAAAAGGAGCCCTCATCAGGAACAGTAGTTTCACCGTGCCAGCCACTCTGTCATTCAGAATAAATTCCCAGTGCTGAAAGAGGGTAGGCTAAAGATGTTTTATTAGAATTAAACAGATTTAGGACAGGGTCTGGCAACAAGAAACGGCTGTATTTCAAACTATATTTCCTCTGCAAGGGTCATCTCTTAATGCAGGCCTCTTGATTATTCTGGCACTTGGCTGTAGAATTAATATCATTCGTCTCTGCTTCAATGACATTACAGAGTGGAAATGTGTATTGAAAGGTATGAAAAAGGTTATATTTTCAGTGAAATCAGGCAAACATATTGGAGGGGAGGGGTATATAACTGTGTGTGTAGGGGGTGCTCGTCTGGTATTCTCAAGGGGTATGGTGTCAGGAGATGCAGACTAGAAGCCATGTGACGAAGCAGAGCGCTGGAGGGATTGGCTTAGCGTCTAGCAAGCATGTGAGCTCAGCAAGCCTCTCTCTCTCTCTCTCTCCCCCCCCCCCACTCCTGCTCGCTCTTTTTTATTTGCTTTTTTTTTCCCCCTCTCTCAGCATCCTTCTGTGATCGTGTAGGTTACAGCTGCAGCAGCATCCATGGCCTAAACTGCAGCTCCAACCATTTCGGGCAAAAGCAGAACCATTTCACACATTCTGCCATCCAGCACTGCTGTCTGGAGCCAGAAGGTTGCCAGGGAGTTTCTCTGATCTGTCTCAGCATTGGGTAAAAAGGGCTGTGTTTTCCCCACTATCGTTTCAGGCTCCTTGGAGATTGAGGAATGCAATACTGCCATCATGATGGAAGGTAGGTTTTTTTTCTCCTCTTCCTCTATTTGCTCTGGTTTGTTTAGCTGTTCATAATACCATAAGCTGTCTAGCTATTTGAAGTGCATGCATTCCTGTGGCTTACATGTCATTCCCTGAAAAGGGCAGCGTTCTTTAACGTCTGATGCACAAATACAGCAGCAGGACTAATTAATTTTTTTAAGGGATGATGTACATTCATTGTGCCGAAGGCTTGCTTTCCCAGTTGGTTCTACTGTACGAATTTGAAGCAGAGAGATCACTTTTATCACCATTTCTGTCTGAAGCCATTTTCAGGAGATGTTTTCATCTGTGTGTTTGGCAGATGAATTTGACAAGCCATTTGTGCAGAAATTGATGGCAGGTGAATTCAAAATGTGACCCTTGGAGGCTTTAGAAAGATGAAAATGAAATGGCTTCTTTAATATCATCTGAGCATTATTGATAGTAACTAGTATTATATTTCAGATCTAGGAAGTATTTTTGTGGACGTTTTCCATGATGTGAGAATTTTCTCCTCCCTATGATTGTGTACTCAGGTTTAATCTTCCATGGGCTAAGGATGTCATCTGCATTTTTCTATTTTGCATATATATTGCAGTGCCTAAATACATTTCATGTTGCATTATGAAGATATACAGAATGTTTGGGCTATATAGTATAAAAGCATTTGTTCTCTGCATTTTGGTGAGTAATAATTTCACCATTTTTTAAATTTTGGTTAAAGGTCATTTTATGTACTCTATATATATAGTTTGCCTTTTCTTCTGGCTGTCACGTGATGACGTTTTAATTAGCAGAAAATTGAATTCAATGTGTGCATATATTGTAATTCTTCAGAATGTCTAAAAATAATATATAAAAATCCATGTCAATTGAAAAAGCTCTGCTTACAAACGTGCCCATGGTTGCTTTAGAGTAAAAGTTATCATTATATTATATATTTTATTTATGCTTTCATGTTTTTATACTCTCAGGGGAGAAGTAGAATAGAAAGAAATTTGTCTTTTAATAAGTAGCAAAGGAAAGTTTTCAATCAGTGAAGGTGAAGTGCAGATTTACAGAAAAATACAAAAAGGCTCAAATCTTTCATAATCTTAATAAGAGTATTTCATTGTGTTTAATATTGTATATTTAACATTTATATATTTATTGCAACTGTAACAAGAAAAGGACATTTATTTATGACTTTCTGTCTGGTTTTCATTGTCTATACTAAATGTTGATGTAAGAGAATTCAGTAAAAATATATAAGGGATGTTATCATTTTCAGCACCTGCTTTTTTTCATTTGATTAAACAGGAGAAAAATAGTTTCCCCTGATGTGTCAAAGGTAAGAGTGTGATTAGCCTTTTTTAGGAGTAAACCTGTATGCCATGTCTTTAAATAGTGTTTGTCTTAGACATGGATCTTTATTGGTATAAGAGGAAGATTACAAGAGTTCTGTGATGTGTGGATGTTCTGATCTCCTGGCTGAATGCTTTTCAAAGTTTACCTTTACTGGGTCTCAAAACACCCACAGACTATGTTTGGGAAGTTTGTGAAAGATTCTTCACATTACTCCTCTGTCAGCATTATAGAGTCAGGGAGAGTTGAGTCCCATGCTTCTGGGTTCACTGTCTAAACACAATTCTACAGTACATTAAGAGTCAATCAAGGAGACAAAAAAACAATTGGCCACCTTTTATTATCTTTCTGTCATGGTCAATATGCCAGCAGACATACTACATGGAAGCCTGACCTCATCAGATCATGGAAACTAAAGAAAGATGGGGCTTGTTAATTATTTGATGGACGGCCTCCATGCTCCAAGGTTCTGCTGAAAGACCAGAAAGAAGGCACTCTGGTCTGCCTAGAATATCCTGTACCTCAATCACAGCTGATGTCAGTTTTGTCTCCATCCTCCATTTCAGGATGTTCCTATGATCAAGGTGATCTGTGTTGTACTGGTGCTTGAACAGCAGCTTCAGTCCTCCCTGAGGTTATTACATTTCAGTGTATAAGTGCTGGTTCAGCTTGGGTCTTACAGTGGGATTGTGGATGTGTTGAAATTACCTAGATACTGTAACCATATTGTAGCAGTTGTTCTCACAGGGAATTGGTCATATTTGCAATGGTTACTGGAGGTAACCACAAGCTTAACCTGAGCTTTTTTACACTAAGCTAAGGTTCTTTTAGAAGAAAATATTTTCAGCATTGGCCCTTGGCCCTGTCTGCACAACATTTCTTCTACTCTTCAAATTCATACATTCCTATACATTCAACAGTAAACAAAATATTTAATTTTCATGACTTTATAATTAGAAATATAGAAAATTAGATGATTTATTCCACTACATTATTCCAGCTTTGTTTTAGTTTTGTGACATGGCATAATTACTTTTTAAAAAACTTAATCATGAAACACCTAATAATACCTTGCATTTATTTAGCACATTTAATCCAGAAGGATCCCAAAGCACTTTACACATGGACAGCCTGCTTCATACCCCTCTGAAGTTCATTACCCACTTTGAGCCAGCAGCCCCACTTCACAAATGGTCAACAGATAGACAACGGGAGGAATGGCTTCATCAATTGAATTACAGGGGGACTTTAGGCAAACCAAATCATATAGATCAAGGGTGGAATTAAGCCAGGACATTAGGGCTAATTACCAATACTCTTTTGAAAAGTGATGTGGGATGTTTAATTTTCAAGACAGGACCTCAGTTTATAAGCTCATCCATGGGATGGGACCTCCTGTAGACCAGTGTCCTTGGTCAATATGCAATATTGGTGTATTGAGGAAATTCTGGTTCAAAGGCTAGTTTAAAACCTACTGGACTACCTTCATCTTGTGCAGCAGCCACCTGGATTGCCTTGAAGTTCTTCCATCCTAGGACTGGCTACGTTTAGGTATTCTTAATTTCTAAGATCTGAAAAGACCAGGCTTCACGATGGTAGATTGCTGCCGTTGAGTTAGCTGATCATGTCCACATATGATGAGACATCAGCAACTGCTAAGAAGTACAGTATTTGTATAATAGGGGACATTTACCTTCACTTTCAAATATAGTTTCTATTGTCTTTATTCATTTTGTGTGTAAGCATTGTAAAAAAATTTAAAAACTCAAATACCCCCCATGGGAAAAATGTGTCCTATAAAGACACAACTTTTCTTTTTGATTAACAATTACGTTGGCAGTTGTGATTTTTCGAAAATGTTCAACTGCCATTGATATACTGAAATAATTTTGGATTGGGACACTAAAAGTGCTTTTCAGATTGTGTTAATGTGGAACTGAAAAGACCTGTTGTGTACCTGATTGTAATTCCAGGGCTGTACCATGGTCTTGTTGACTGATTCGCTGTTACACAATCGTATATTGTCAGTTATTATTACATAACACCAATATCTGTAGATCTGGAAGGATGTATTGTTCGTTTTTAAGATTTATTATGCAGTGATCCAATATAAATATGACAAGTACAATACAGGTTTATTGCATAATCAAATTGCAGGTTGTACAGATATATCTGTTTTATTATCTCCTTGACAAGTCTGTATAAAGAATCAATTTCTAAGCATAGTGTAGTACAACAAAATACTTACATTTTTCAAGTCAGGAACACTGCAGGATATTTTCAAGTTACTGAAAATTTGAGAAAACCATTCTGTGTAATGCAGCATTCATATTCAGAGTGGTTATATTTAAGAAACATACAGTAAATAAGGTTACAATGAGAGGAAGCCATTTAGCCCTTACAACTTGTTTAGTTACTAAAAGCTGATTGGTCTAGGACATTTCTTTTAATCACTTGGCCAAGGTTGAAGCCAGGTCTAACAACATGGCTGTGTAGCATGTTTCAGATTTCTACACACCTTTTGTAAAAAAAAAAACAGTCCCTCCTGTTTTCACTCTTAAATGCCGCTTGGTTTCTATTTGTGTCTTTTGTGTCCTGCTTCTTTGTTTTTCTTCTTGTTCTGATGAACTCCATTGGGTCAATTTTATAAAATATTTATCATAACTTTGATGTTTTTGAATACTTCAGTTAGGTACCTGTGTAGTCAGTATTTCAATACTTAAAAGCTTGAGCTCTTTTTTTCCTGTCAAAGTGGGACATTCTTTTAAACTTTAGAATGTATCTGGTTGATCTTCTCAGGACTGAGTCCAGTAGTTTTTTGTAACTCAGTGGACAAAACAATGGTACACAATATTCAAAATGGGATCTTACTAGCACATTGTACAATTTTAACATAATATCCCATTCTTCATTGTCTACAAGATGAAAATGAGTCAGCATGAACCCAAAGACTTTTTAATGGGTAGCTTGTTCAAATTCATATTTTTTCCAATCTTATGTATATAGTGTACATTTGTGCAACCTAACACTCTGTACTTGTCCACATTAAGTGTTATCTGTCAGGTGTTTGTCCAGTCTTCAACTGTCAGTATTTTTTTCAAAAGGATTTTCAATCTTTTGCAGCTTCTGCAGTGTTTACTAATTCTCCTGTAATGATAATATGTGAACTTACAGTAATTAGGTCCTAGCTACAGTATACCCAGACTTTAGATCTTATTTGTATTCTCTGTTTTCTATCCTTCATCCAGTTCTAAATCCAAGACTTGCGTAATTTTCTTGAATGTCTTCCACCTGCAATTTGAGAATTTATCAATGATGTGGTGAATATAACATGTTAAACAGCATGCTCCATTTGGAACATATTTTCGCAGAACTCCAACAAGTGTCAATTTACATATACTCTTCATTAGCATTCTCACAACTTTACATGTAATAGGAGCTAGACTCTATTAGTCTATAAATACATTGTTTAGATTTTTCACTCTTTTTAAGGATGAGTGCTACATTAGCACTCTTCCAATCAATGAGCATTACCACTGTCAAGAATACTTTTGAAAAAGTTTTGCTAATGGCCCACGAATAACATCTCTTACTGTATTTCCTTAAGTGCAAATGGTAGAAACCTTCAAGCCCTGGAGATTTATCTTAAGTGCT